GCCATTTGGGACCCCTGTTTCATTCTGGGCCCCAGAATGATGGCGCAGACACTATTTGAAATATTGGTAGGTCATTCATGGAGGAGATAAAGATCTGGAGGGACTTACACTGTCAAGTAAAAACTCTGACCCAGAAGTGAGACACAACCCTTTGATTCACAACTCATTGCCATCCACAACTCATTGGCAGAACATAGTTATATGGCTCCCACCTAATCACAAATGGACCAGCAATTTCACTCCTGGTCCTTGAAAGCAGAAAGTAGAATATTTGAAAATTAGCACTAATGATTTCAGAATAGCTATTGAAGAGCTTTACTCTAAAGTCCTGGAGTGGGGAAGGGGGATGGGGTGGTTTGCTAGGATAAAACAGAAATCCTGTCTCATTTCTCTGTAGAATGTAAACTTAGCGCTGTATCTATACCAGCTGACCATATGTGGCCTGCTGTTCTCACAGGGTTTCCTCCAACCCTAGCATGCTCTCACTTCTCTGAGCTTTTACAACCCATGCTGTTTGTTACCCCTGGAACTCTCATTATTCCCTTCTCTGTTCCTGCTTGCCTTCACCTGATTATGCCCTATGTATTTCCCAGACATTTTAGTATATATAACTTCCTCCAGGAAACCTTCATTAGAAATCCCTCACATACACATCACCAAATTGCGGTTAACTATCCCTTGTCCCTCTTTTTCAGGAGCCTTATTTGTTTTCTCCATCCTAGAATTTACTAGATTTTTTTCAATAGTCTGTCACTTCCCACTAGTCTAAATGTTTTCATGACAGTACAAATTGTGTCTTGTTAACCACTGTGTCCCCAATGCTGAACACATACTAGTTGCTCAAGATGTATCTTTGAAGAAATAAAACAATTAATGATTTCATATATATGAATAAAATAAATCTCGACTCTTTCTACACTGTTTCAAGGTAGTTTCTCCAGTGCTCTGACTCTTTTACGGCCTTCCAAGAGAAGAGATCCATTTCTGATTTCTTCCTCGGGTTTAATCCAGAAGCATTCCTCAGTTCACATGCCAATACACTTCTCTCTGGCCAAAATTTTAACTCATCATTTTTGTTTTATTTCTCAGCTGTGAAAAGACCTCCTTAGTCAGTAGAAGACTCTTTCCAGAGCTTTCCAGTCTGAAGTTTGTAAACTCATTAAACACACACACACACACACACACACACACACGAGTGCACACATTTGGAAACTTGACCTCCTACGTTTAAAATGGAAGATACGACCACAACTACCTCTGGAGCTCCTGTTGGTTCAGGCGCTGATTTTATGATCTCATATCTTCACTGCATTCCAATCTCTTTAAGCTTTTTTCTTAAAATAAATCCCTCAACCTCTGACCAGTATAGCTGTCGCTAAGCAATTTTAGAAGCATTAGTCTTATCTGGAAGAAGGTTATATGTTAGGTCATTACTCCTTAGGACAGGCAGAAAACTTTTCCTTGCTATCAGCAAGATTGCCTGAAATTCCACCATTCGTTGATTTATTTATTTTTGACATTTATGTGTCAAATTCTATGCTAACTGTTTTCTCACAGAGAAGTCATGGGTGTTAGGGTAACTCTCTTTTCTTCTTCTGGTACCCCACTTCCCCAGTGATGTAATAACCACCTGAGTGAGACATGTCATAATATTCTCCCTGCCTCTGCCTGTGTCTGACATACCTCCTCATTCTCCCTTAGGGAGGCTTTCCATGACTCTTACACTGAGGCATCCATCCCTGTCCCTGAAATCTGTTCCTACAACACACTGCATGCCCCCAAATATGACCCTTCTCACATCTTGTTATAACTGCTTGTTCAATGTATGTCTTCTTCTACAGAGGGTAATCTTCCTTGAGAGCATGGTTTGAGACAGTCTCACTCAACATCTATTTTCTGATGCCTGGTACGTCATTCAAGTACTTTATTAACAGGCATATAATAAATACTTGCTAAGTGCATGAAAGAGAATGTTTTGGTCTGGTTGAGACTGAACTGGGAGTTAAGTTATATGATCAATGTTAAACTATCCAATTATCAGGCTAAGCATGTGCTTAGGGCAGTAGGGAAAGAAAAAAGAAAAAAAAAAAAAAAAAACTTTAAAAGCATTATAAAATTCCTTTGATAAACTTAGCCAGAACTTTGGAATCAAACCATTCTATAAACAGCTATTTAATATTACGATACATAAATGCTTTGTGTTATTTCAAAAGGCCTCAATTTTATTTCTAGCTAATTCCCAGAGTAAGAAAGCAGCCTTGATCTAGCTCATAATCCAAACATCTTAAGTACATCCTCACCCAGTTACTCTAGCTACAACTTCCTGACTAACCAACTTTCTGATGAAAAGCTAAATGTTTGAAGTGAAAAAGAGACTCCAACCGTTGTGTGCCTGAGGAACATATGGAGAAAGGAAGGGACTCTGGCTGGACTTGTTTTGGCTGAGCACGGAAGCTTCTGGAGCATTGCGTAAGGCGTTACTGAGAAAACATTCCAGTAAATCTCATCTGCTATTTCATGTGTGCAAACCTCAGTGCATTTAGCAGTTCCCAACTTTCAAATGGGTTTAATTCCAAAAGCACACTTCTTTGTCAGATTCTCTTAAGAATTCAAAGCCATTTTCCCATAGAAACAATACTGTAAGTGATTGTAAGTTTTCCAGGCTGGCTTACCAAAACCTACTGATTCCATAATTCAGCTGAAATACAATTGCCATTATGAAAGTAGAAAATCATGCTATGAAGGTGCCATTTTCTTTTAAATGTCATAAAATATATCTAAACATGGAGAATATAGCAAAAATACATTTAAAAGTCACAATAACTTTTCTGGGGTCAAGGTCTGTTAATACATAAAACTTAAAACAACAAAAATTAACAATAACTGTTTTACATTGCCTATTGGTACTTATAATAACAGTATGAAACATATTGCTAGCTGTCTCTTGAAATCCATTCTTCCCCTCTTCGTTTAGAAAGAGAAACTAACACTTAACTTAGAGCTGGATGCAAGGTCAGCCAGAATAAAGAGTCTGTTGCACAGCCCCTGTGCAACCAGGTGTGGCCATATGATTCAATCTGCCAATGGGGTGCATACAGAAATGATGTGTGTAACTTCCAGGTTTTTTCCTTAAGGCTACAGCCCCTGCCCTTGAGTTGGCTAGAATGGAGAAATATGGGAAGTTATCCTAAATAGCACAACTGAAGATGGAATCCTGGAGAATAATGAAGCCCAAGATAAGTTTCTTAGACAATATTGTAGAGCAGGGTCACCCTATCAGTTCTCAACCATCTATGAGGCAATTTTTATGTCATAGAAAAATAAATTTTTAGCTCGTATGAGTTACTTTTTTTTTTTTTTTTTGAGACGGAGTCTCGCTCTGTCACCCAGGCTGGAGTGCAGTGGCCGGATCTCAGCTCACTGCAAGCTCCGCCTCCCGGGTTCACGCCATTCTCCTGCCTCAGCCTCCCGAGTAGCTGAGACTACAGGCGCCCACCACCTCGCCCGGCTAGTTTTTTGTATTTTTTAGTAGAGACGGGGTTTCACCATGTTAACCAGGATGGTCTCGATCTCCTGACCTCGTGATCCGCCCGTCTCGGCCTCCCAAAGTGCTGGGATTACAGGCTTGAGCCACCGCGCCCGGCCGAGTTACTTTTAAGTCTTTCTGTAATTGTAGCCAGATATATATCTGAACTAACACAAGCAAATAAATGGTGATCTAGGTGGAGAATCCTGTGGAGATTGTGAAGAAAATATCTGAGAATTTCCAGGATGGTGCTAATTCAGAGAAAGATTTCTGTTCAAAACTCAGGATTTTTATTTTCCTTAAAAAAACGCTATTCTTTCCCTGATGAATTTTGCCAAAGTAGCCCATGGAGATATTCTCTCTGGACTATATTCTATAGTCTAAACCAAATATTTGCTTATGAAATTCCCTCCCTCCCTTCCTCCCTTCCTCCCTCCCTCCTATCCTCCCTTCCTCCCTCCCTCCCTCCTTCCCTTCCTCCCTTCCTCCCTTCCATCCTTATTTGAAGCACAAGATGTACCAGTCATTGGGCTGAGAGTATAAAGTTCCATAACGCACAATGTTTTCTCCTCAAGGAAGTCACAGATTCATAAAAGAGACAGAAAATGGAACAAATAATAGCCCTGCAATGTGATACATGTGATAACGCAGTTATTTCCAAAGCTCTAGGAAAGCACAAAAATAGAAATGTTTTTTGAAAATTATCACAAACTTTGCCTAAAAACTGAAGAATGGGGGTTTGGGAGTCACAGCTAGAGGGTACAGGATTTCTTTGTGAGTTGATGAAAACGTTCTAGAATTTATTATGGTAATAATGGTCGCACAACTCTGTACAAGCCTTTGGATTGTATATTTTAAAGGGGGTAAATTGTACGGTATGTAAATTATATCTCAATAAATCTGTTATAAAAAGAGCACTGAAGAAAGATTCAGAGCTTCCTTGAAAGCTGACGTTTCCAAGATGACTGAATGCATGCACATGTACACATTTATACGTTTGATTAGTTCATAATAACACTCAAAGTAAAAAATCATAATAATGCTCAAAAGGTTTTATGTTAGATTCAAAGTCACTTGATGAGAAGAGTCAGCAGCTCAGGTGCCACTCATAGAGAGCATTATTCAAAAATCAATCGAGGCTCGGCCTGGTGGCTCATACCTGTAATCTCAGCACTTTGGGAGGCCAAGGCAGGAGGATCAACTGGGGCCCGGAGTTTTAGACCAGCCTGGGCATTATAGCGAGACTCTGTCTCTACAAAAAGAAATAAAAAAAGAAAAGAAAGCAATTAATAGAGAAAACATACATGTATAAAATATTTAATATTTTAAATAAATATTAATATTAACCTTTTAAATATTAAGTCATATTTTAAAAATACGAATGTATTTTTATAAATGTTCTTATAAAAACATTTTAGTAAGTGTTTATTTATAAAATATTAATATGAATATCTATACTATAGATACTTATACAAATATTTCTATATTAGTATATTTATGTATGTTTAGACTGAACATATTTAATAAGGGACCTAGGGTAGAACATAGTAATGGGCTCCAGTTCTTCACGTTCCTTTGTACCTGCCCTCTGTGCAATAGAATATCAGATATTCTTGGACCAAAATTTAGAAAGCACTTGGGCACTTGCATTGATTCTGGCACCTTCGACACTGTGGTGAGAAGAAGGTGCCTTAGCTAACCACTGTCTCGGGAGAAGGATGAGAGACATGTAAACCTCTGCTGTGCCCAACTCAGAATAGGCAACCAGAGACTCATGAGCCAGCCCAGCTGAGACCAAAGACGAGCGACCCTATCCGCCAAGCTTCATCTAGACCAGCTCATCCCCATCCACCTTACAGTGGGAACTAAACAAATGCAATCGGTACAGATGAGGTTGCCATATAAACAAGTTACAGACATAATTAACTGATACAAGCCCAAGTAGAGTTTACGATCGGGCAAGTTGGGGACACACTTTTCTGGTCCTTACTCCCACTCGCTTTCCCTCTCTCAATTCAAATACCAGCAACTGATCCTGACACCCTAAGTATAACTTTTTCAGATCTGCTAAGCTTGCTGTTTAAGGTACTGTGTGTACAAATTGTTCCAAACTCAAAGATTGGATAAATGAAGATAAATCAAAGTCTTCCTATTTGTGGACAGAGAAACTTCAAGAAACTTTCTCTCATTACCACAGATGCTATCCTTGGCCTTTTGCTGCTGATTACCAACTACTTCTCAAAGCCACTGTTCTTACATGCCATGGAGCAAAATCGGTATCATTAACCCTAGGAAACGATGGAGTCATTTGCCCACAAACTTATTTTTCTCTCTCCCTAAAACACTTGCTTCATTTGCAAGCTCATGTGACTCACTCACTCAACACTGAACATGTGCTCAACAAGAAGTAGAGGGAGGTGGTGGTTGTTTTTCAGTTTCCTTTATACATGGTCTTTGTGCAAGCCCCTGATTCAGGATGATCTCTGCAAGGACTGACATAAGATTTAACAGCTTGTATTGCTCATCAGGGTCTTCCAGAGCTGAGAAGTGAGGACTTACCTTTCACAGCAATCGCTGAATTACAATTATTTAATTTGATTTTTACAGTTCTCTGTTTTATTAGACTGTATCTCAACATTGTATCTCTAGTGTTTGCTACATGGTCAAACACATGCTTAGCTAATCTTTGTGTGTCTGAAGACAAATCAAAATCTTTATAGAGAGACTATATCTTATAGATTCAAAATCAGATATTCTATAAATGTCTCTGAAATTCAGATAATGAATGACAGCCTCCAATGTCATACATATGTCACATATATATGACATATATATATAGAGAGAGAGAGACAGTGTAACAGAAATTTTTTTGTGAACTTGGAAATTAGACAAACATGGATTTGAATCCTAACTCCATTATTTTCTGATTATGTACTTAGCAAGTTAATAATTGGCAAATTAATAATTCAGCTATCTATGCTTCTATTTCTCCCTTTGTAAAATGGAGATTATAAAACCTCCTATGAATGTTGTAAAATTAAAATCATGTATGTAAAATGCTTAGCATATTCTTTTTGCACAGAATAGTAATAAATGGTGATGAATTGAATGACGCTTAAAGACCTTCTGGATTATTTTGGGTGTTTTATAAAAGACAGAGAAAACACACACCAATCTTAAAGGAAGAAAGAGTGTTATCAGTGCAGAGATATTACTCCATGAGGCTTTAGAAACTTATCTTTGATGAATTAGTCACTCTGATCATATAACTATGGAAACAGCACACACGTGGCTGAATCAGAAGCTCCCAGCTCCAACCTGCAGAAGCAATAGAAACTAGATTAGTAGTCAAGGTGCCCATGGGAAATAGGGACTGGGAAGACATTTCAGGTCTTTTGGTGCTGGTCCACCCTACTCCAGGAGAATCCTTCCCATTTAATGAACACCTTGTGAGTGTCAGGCACTTTGTGGGGGCTAGAGATTTGAATACATATCCCTTATCACATGACATTGGAGCCACGGTCACTTACGCTAGTTGTTTGCCCAACTAAACCGAAAGACTCTGTGGTCACTTATCAGGTGCTTGTTATCTCTGAATGAACTTAGTACAGTTCTGGCATGTAACTACTTGTAGATGAAATGAACTAATGCCTTTTAAAATAGCCCCACCAAAGTCATGGCGGCAAATAGTGTCCTTTTTAGGTAAATAATAGTAGCCTTAAACACTTAATAAAGCATCTCACCTATATGGTGCTCTGTGTCACATGTGTGTAATCAAAATAGAACCGAGAGCTTGGGCCCTCATACTGGGTCATATCAAACGACATCTGAGATTACCATGTCTCAACCGTTAATACTTTGGAAACGCCTACTGAAAACACCATGTGAGCATGCTTATACACATATACACATATACACATACACAGACGGCCCATCTCTGTTGACTGTTGACTGATGGCTCACTGATACCCACACACTCCTCACAGGAATGCGCACCTTCACTAAATATTCATTCTAAGATTAAGAACAGACATTTGATTTCCCAAAGAGGCACAATCTTAAAAGTATTCTGACCTGGTTCCAGGGAGCATACATTTACATAAATTAAAATATTGAAATCATGATTTTCTAAGGAGGATTCCAGAAATGACTACTATATTTAAAATAATGAACAGAATGATGGCATCCACTACAAGAGGCTTGACTGGCTCAGGCTTGCCCATGGACTCCTTTACATGGGGTTCAGTATAGATGTTTAAAAATATACAGATTCTCCACCCCCATCTCTGTCCCTTGAGACTGTCCTCATTCTGTCTTTATAAATCTATGCCCTGACCCGGGCACAGTGGTTCATGCCTGTAATCCCAGCACTTTGGGAGGCTAAGATGGGTGGATCACTTGAAGTCAGGAGTTTGCAACCCCCTGACCAACATGGTGAAACCCTGTTGCTACTAAAAATACAAAAATTAGCCAGGTGTGGTGGCAGGTACCTGTAGTCCCAGCTACTCAGGAGGCTGATGCAGGAGAATCGCTCCAACCCAGGAGGCAGAGGTTGTAGTGAGCCGAGATCGCGTCACTGCACCCCAGCCTGGGCAATAAAACAAGACTGTCTCAAAAAACTAATAATAAAAAATGAAAATAAAAAAAATCTATGCCCTGGGTTTCTCTATGGTTGCCAGCTTTCAGGTGATTCTGGTTCCAGGTATCAGAATCACTAACTTGAGTCAGCTCTGGGACCTTTCCATTACTGATGTTCAGTGGGTCAGCCAAAAGAGAGACTGCAACATCTGCCACCCTCCAGATTGGTTGCCTAGTTGGGCTACCTGGAAAGGTGTACCTTCCTTCTTTAGCCTTTCTCAGATTCCATCTTGAAAGCTGCAAACCAGGTATGGGAAGCTATCCATTCCAGCTAGATGTTAGCTCTTCAGTCAACAGCCTTCTTTTTACTATTCTCCCTGCACAAACTTCCAAAGATTTTCCCTGGGGCCATGTGTGAATCTGATGAGTCTAGAAATGTCAATCACCCTCCATCCTCTGAGCTTCCCTAATCCCCAGAAGCTAAACCAATCACTCAGAAGCATCAGTTTAAAGGTAGAAGGTTCTTCCCCACTGGTCTCCAGGTTGTTTGTTTGTTAGAATCCCAAGCCCCATTTTATCTAGACTCTGTGATCTAAATCTCCTTTGCAAGGATTCCAGAAACAGGAAACAAGGTTGCAACTTTGTATTGTGGGTGTGAGTGAGGTCTTGGGGTAAGTACAAGTAAAGGAGTCAGACTAATCATCCTGTAATCTTCCTTAACATCCCACGTCAATTTCATGAAATATTTATCTGTGCAACTTTTCTCTGATAGTACCTAATACCACAGAAATTTGATAAGCATTTGTATAATTATTTAATAAGTCCCCAGGAAACTATAAGGGTTATGGTGACAGAAACCTTGACTGACTTTCTCACTCTCATCCCCAGCACCTGGTGCAGAGCCTGGTGCCCCAGTAACAAAGGGAAATGGCTCTTGATGTTGTTGTGCAAGGGTGTTGGTTTCCTGTCTTCTGGGTAAATGCTCTTTCAGGAACAGTCGATTAATGAATATTTATTGCTTAGGTTGACCATGGGAATTTTGAGTTCCCTAAGCTGGGTTCTAAGAGGATTAAGCAATCATAAGATGCCTATGGGCAAGGCAAAGGCAGATCAGAAAGTTGAAGATAACTCTGGCTTTCCCTGTGGAAGCCATCAGTCAACAATCAACAGAGATGGGCTGTCTGTACTAGTCAAGGGAAAAGGTGATAAGGGAAAGGATGATGGGCAGGGAGATGTCCAACTTTAAAAGACCATTATTTTGCAGTTCTAATGACTCCCTCACCATAACACATTGCAGGGACAATGTGCAGTGAAAACTGAAAACTGAATGTTTCGCTTCTGGCAGGGAAATATATAAACAAAGTCTGTATTCTAAAGGACATTCACTGGGATTTGAGGCATTAGGGAAGGGAGATAAATAAGGAGAAAGGCATAACAAGAGAACAAATCTGAAAAGAGAAAGAAAAGTGAGTCCAATACTTTTTAAGTAGTCAATCTAGGTACATTTTTATCCCTGACTTACAAAGTATTTCTTCTCCCAATAAGCTACAGCATCTCTCCTAAATCCTAATATGGTGAGGATAAGATCAATGTTTATATTTTACAGAGCCAAAGAAGCTAAAGAGAATTTGTAAGAATCCAGCACAATTCAGAATCAGAGGTTTTAGAGCTGGGATGGATTTTCCAGAAATCTTCTGGTTCAAGCATCTGCCCTAGGATAGGTAATGTTTAATTTTCCCCATTTTATAAATAATGTGAGCCAGTACTAGGCCTGTGCTTATGTCTGAAGAGTCAGAAGGGGCCAAGAAGAGCGTAACTTGGTCCTCTAAACACAATAGTTTGCAAAAAAATCTGCTCATGAACTAACAGCCAGTTCCTTATTGAAGTCACCCAGTGTTTCCCAGACTTGTCAGAATTTATTTCAAAAATCTTAAATAGCTGGATGCGGTGGCAGGCACCTGTAACCCCAGCTACTCAGGAGGCTGAGGCAGGGAGAACTGCTTGAACCCGGGAGGCAGAGGTTACAGTGAGCCAAGATCATGCCACTGCACTCCAGCCTGGGCGACAGAGTGAGACTCCAACTCAAAAAAACCTTATGAGTGATTTCCATGTGCCGGGTTCAGCACAAACTCCTTTAATCCTCATAACAATCTTGGGAGGTGAATATTTTATCTCCATTTTACTACAGAACAAACCAAACTGCAGAGAGCACAGGTAACTTGCCTGAGATTGCACAGCTAATAAGTGAGTGAGCCAGGACTCTGAACACAAATACTCTACTCCTAAGCCTGGATCTTAACCTCTGTGTGCTTTGATGCCTGTCAATTTTATATTCCACCAATATATTCCTTTTAGAAAAAGAACCAACTTCTAAATATGACTTTTTCTTCCCCCTCTTGTAATTACCCAGTGGGTTTGTCTTGTCTGCTTACCAAAAAAGTCAATGCGCTGAGAACAGCAGTTTTTTTTTTTTGTAGAAAAAACAGTTTAATTAATGCAGGGCTAGTCAAACAGAAAACAGTTTATTGTTCAAATCATCCTCCCGGAGAACTCAGAGCCTAGGGTTCTTATGGATAATTTGATGGGCAGTGGGCTAGGGAAGGGGTACTGCTGACTGGTTGGGAATGAAATCATAGAGATATGGAAAATGGTATTTGTGTGCTGAATCAGTCTCTCGGTAGGGGGTGCAGGACCAGTTGAGTCATAAGTCACAGGTCCAGATGGGTTAGTCAGTCCCCAGAATGCAATAGTCTGAAAGAATCTCAAAAGATCAACCGTAGGTTCTACAATGGCAATGTTATCCACAGGAGCAACTGGGGAAGTTACAAAGCTTGTGACCTTCAGTACAGTAACCCACGATAGCAAAGTAACCTATGCCTACATTTTAGGAGCATTCTGGTCCCTTCCATAATCCTAATCTCATGGCTTTTCATTAGTCTTACAAAGGCGGTTTCAGTTCCCACACAAGGAGAGGGTCAGTTTCAGGGAGGGACTATTATCATTTTTGCTTCAAAGTTAAACTATCAACTAAATTCTTCATATGGTTAGCTTGGTCTATGCCCAAATTATAGAATGAGTGTGGATAGCCAACCTGTGAGGCTAGAAAGAAGATGGAGTCAGCCCTTCTAGACCTCTCTTGCTGCCATAATCTTCGCAAAGGCAGTTTCACTCTCAAAGAAAACTGTGTTTACAATGTCCTGATAATCCCATTACAATATTAATACCCCAGAGGAATTCGAAAATTAAGGGTTAAGAAAGGTTGCACCAGGCACCAGGTCTCACCTCTTGTGAGAAGGCATCCAAGAGGGGAAACACACACCCAAATTATTACCCTAGAGAAAGATGGGAATTAAGTGCTAAGAATCATTGCGCTCCAGTGCCCATTTTATATTCACTTGTCATTTCCCCATCTATTTGCGAGGCTCTTTTGCAATAGCTCTCCTTCCCGAAATGAGTGTTTGTTTCCCCCATTTATCTTAAGAGCCAATAGCCAAATAAAGACATCATTTTTTAAGAAGAGACTGATTTATCAGGGGCTTATGTATCCCCAGAATAATGGCCCAGAAGATTCCTAGCTCCAACACTTGCCTGATTACAACACCTGTTTTTGTGTCTCAAAACAGGCTGATGACATCCTTTCTCCACTGGATTGGAAGCTCCATGAAGAAGAGCATTGACTCTTTCCACCTCTGCATTCCTGACACACAGCCCAGAGCCTTCCCAATGTGATGTTCTCAAAA